CCTTGCTTATCTGAATGTGGGCTGCTAGAGGAGATGGGTTGTGATCTTTTTGTTTCCTTTCTAGTTTATTTTAATTTTCTCTTTTGTGTAAATATGATTTATCTCAATGGTCTATTGCTGGCTGATTTGTCTAAATGCCAAGCTCCCAGGAATTTTCCAGCATTTTTGGATTTGACTTGATGAAAGATGCTAACTCAAAAGGAGAAAACCATGCCCCCACCAAAAATTGGCAAGGCAAGCTATAGTACTGCATATAAACAGACAGCAAATTCCATACTCATCTCTGCTGATGATGTTGCCTATTGGGTAATGAAATGTCTGAAAGCAAACAACCAATCTCAGAGAGAAAAAAGAGCTCCCTTTTTGTCATACGGTGGAGCATATCAAGATCCCATATCCCCAAATTTCAAAGAAACTTTTGCTGATCTTATAATAATATGCCTATATCTGAGAAGCACTGTTTTGCCTTTCTGCATGTTGCTCTTTCACATATCTCTACTTAATTTATATATAATTTCACATATTCATTTATAAAATGTAGGTGCAGGATTAATAAATGTGCTCTGTGTGCTATGCCTGTGACCACTTGTACATACAAACATTTCAGATATCATTGTTTCACCTTATCCTTTTTCATTCACTCTTCATTATCTTTTGTCAACGATTCATTCTTTTTATCAACAATACAGCCTCAGTCACTACATCCAATTTGTTGACACTTTTTAAACCTTCTGGAAAGTTAGAATATTCATAACAATACTACTTTCTCTCAGATTTAGGAAGGAGGCAATACAGAATACAGAATAACAGAGCTGGAAGGAACCTTGGAGGTCTTCTAGTCCAACCTCCTGTTCAAGCAGGAGACCCTATACCAGTGATGGCGAACCTTTTAGAGACTGAATGCCCAAACTGCAACCCAAAACCCACTTATGCATCGTTGAGTGCCAGGTGGGTGTGGCCCATTGGATGGGTGTGGCCCATTGGATGGGTGTGGCTGCAGTGGTAATGGCAGACTGGGTGGGACTAAAAAGTTCACTCAATCAATTCCAATTTTGCAAGATCATTTTTTTCCCCGCAAGAAGTTGAAATTGACTGATTGATTGAACCTTTTTTTTTTTTTGCACACGGCGGCGGAGCCTAAAACGAAAAGGTTTTATAAAACCCAGCTGAAGGCCTAGGACTGGGGTGATGGCGTGTGTGCCCACAGAGAGGGCTCTGAGTGCCGCCTCTGGCACCCATGCCATAGGTTCGCCACCACTGCCCTATACCATTTCAGACAAACAGTTGTCCAATCTCTTCTTAAAAACCTCCAGTGATGGCAAACCACTTCTGAAAAGCCTTGTCAAGAAAGCTTCATGGACTTGTCTAGGTAGTTTCCCAAAATTGGACATAACTGAACAGATCTGTCTGTTTGTGTCTGTGTCAATGTAGATGGTAGAGGCAGAAGTAGAGGTAGAGACAGAGATAGGGATGATAGAGATAAAGAACTGAAATAGATACACACTTGAAACAAGAAAACCAGTTTGGTGTAGTGGTTAAGGCACCAGGCTAGAAACCAGAAATCATAAGTTCAAGTCCAATCTTAAGCACAGCTGGGTGATTATGGGCAATTCATTTTCTCTGGGCTCAAGGAAGAAGGCAAATCACATCTGAAAATCTTGCCAAGGATACTGCAGACACTAGTCCAAACAGTTGCAAGGAGTTAAGACTCACTTGAAGGGGTGCATACACACACACACACACACACACACACACAAAGAAAAAAACTTTTCCTTTCTTCACCCTTGTTGGTAGGATTTCATCTCTTCTTCTCTGAATCCCTTAATATTGAAGCAGTAATAGTATGGGACTGTCCAGGAATTAGCACCTTCATAGGTAGCAGTACAGTTTTGTTGAAAAGACAGAAGAACTTCTTGTGTGTTCTTTGGAGTCCCAAATCTACTGGTAGCCTGCAGGTCAAGTGCTACTACTGTGCACTAGAATAGTGTACAGTAGTCCTCGGGTTATGACAGCAATTGGGACCAAGAATTTCATTGCTAAGTGAGGTAGTCATAAAGTAGAACATGTGTCCACATTGCTAAGTCTCAGATACTATTGTAAAATGAGGACTACATTGGTCATTAAGTAAGGATCTCACATGATCACAACTTCTGATTTCCTGCCAGCTTCCCCACTGATTATTTTGTGGGAAGCTGGCAGGGAATATTGAAAACTGGGACACCGTAACAGCCAAACAGTGAGGATTCATCATTAAGTCTCCTTCATTCAGAGCCATTGTAACTTTGAATGGACACTGAAAGAACAAATGGTTCTTACCCAAGGACTACTTGTAAGTGGGATATAATCTAACACAAGTATTCCCATGGTCAACGCTTTATGAATGTGTACTACAGGAGAATCTCTCATGTTTTCTAGTTCAGGTAACAGAGTTTGGCATAAGGTCTCTAAGACACAAATCAAGGTCAGGTTTATGTAATACTAGATCACCCTCCTGTTCCTCAATGGATAAACAAGAGCTCCAGAGAATACAGTAACACTAGCAAGGGCAAGACAAATAATCCAGTTCTGATACATGCTCAGAGTTTTTCCATTGCATGCCCTCACAATTGAAAAGTATTAACTTAGGTTAAATGATTTGCTTTCCTACGGCTATGTGTGTGACTCAGTGACTCTTATGCATGATATGAAACATAAACCATAAACAGATGGATTTTCCTTTGTTTAGAGGTAGGTGATATATTGTACACAGCCTTTCCCTTCACAAAATCCAGCAGCATAGAGGGGATTACAAAAGAAATTAAATGAAGAGCCTTTCCATTAGTTATGCAACCATAACTGAACAGATACGGGTAATTCCTGAAAATGCTGATCGGCTGTCACAGTGCTGCCAAACAATCCTTTTCAATTCTTCTATGAAAGTCAAGAATGACAAGTGAGACTGTAAAATCCAGCTGGTTGAGGTAACATCAGAAAATCATGGTTCCCAGGAATTTTAAACTTGAAAAAAGAAGAATAGTAGAACAAGAGCAGTCTTAATGACTAACTAAGTAATGGATGGAAATGTTCAATTCTCATCTCCATCATGAACCTAGAGGGAAAGACACACCTTCTCTGCCATCACCTGTACCCATATAGGGAATCATTATCATCTGCCCCATTGAAAAAAGTCCAGGCAATACATGTGCTGAATGCAGAGATGCTAAAACTAATTGTTACGAAACGGTGAAAAGTCTCTGAGCTAAAACCTTAATGTTTCACCTTAGTGAAGAAGAATTAAGTGATCCATTCTATCATTTCAACTAAATGTCAGCTAAATGTCAATAAAACTATTCATAGAGCATTCCAAACAAAATGTTTATCTATTGATTCTATTATCTGCTATTCACTACCACCTCAGTCTGTGTGGCTTCTCTAGCTAAGGTGAGACAAAAATAAGTCTTGCTGATTTCAATAGGATATAAGGCCCAGAAAACCTGAAAAACTGCAGCTTGCTCGCAAATACTTAATGACATTGACGGAGGGCAGACTAATGGTCTCTTTCCACGTCAAGTTTGAAGAGATTACTACGCTATTAGGTGAGGACCAGTAACAGCACTAGTAGATGCTTGAACCTACTAAATTCTTTTCTTCCTCTCCTCTCCACTAATCAAGGTGGCATGTGGTGGTTGGGGGGCAGCTAGGGAAGAATGGAGCATAAGTTACTATTTGGAAGAAAGATATATTATTGACACTGGAAAGATATTAATATTTGGTTTCATTAACTGCACAATCCTAAACATGTCTTCTTAATACGCCCACTGAATTCAGGTAGGCATATTTCCAGCCGGAAAACAAGTATGAGAATGCAATCTAAATATCACAGCCTTCTAAAAGCATGCATTAGATCACAAGCTGAATGAAGGTCAGTTTGGCTACAGTCCTCTGGTGAGATGTGCATACAGGTCCTTCAGTTGTAGGAATCCAAGCCAAATCCTAGTTTTTCCATTTAGCCCAGTAGTTCCTTAGATCACTAGAGGAAGTTCCATAGGTGGGGATAATGAAGAAGTCAGTAAAGCAAACTTTAGGCCAGCCCAAGTGATTAGCGGTCATATTTGTACAACATGCCTAACCATGGTTAATTGAAACACAGTTTATGCAGCCCATTCTTTCAATTCACTGAACCCTCACAGGATGGAGGTCACACAACATGCTAAGTTAAAACATGGTTAGCCAGTTGGTGATTAAACGTATTATGCAAATACAATGAAATCAGGTGGAAACTCCAAACGCCAATTATTTCCTGCAGTTCTTCAGTAAGACATGTTACAACCACCCGGGAATATTTCTGTGGGAAAAAAAGCACATCATTGGGACCGGTGACGGGAGCAGGCAAGCGCTCATTCCAATGGAGCTGGCAAGGAGAACTTCGGGGAAATGACAGGACAGGACAGGACAGGACAGGACAGGACAGGAAAGGAAAGGAAAGAAGGAAAGGAAAGGAAAGGAAAGGAAAGGAAAGGAAAGGAAAGGAAAAACTGCGCAGCCCGCTCGCCGGTCCCGACTCGGCAGCCCGAGTTGCCTGCAGCCTACAAGTGAAGGTTCCCGCAACCTCCGTTCCCTGTCTGCAGACCGGAGCCCCAGAATGGCACCTGTCAGGTAGGATGGCGGCGGAGGAAAGAACCCGAAGACCACCCCAAAGACTGTGGAGGTAGGGACAGCTCTCCCCACCCTTTCAGGCTTGGAAAAGGGCGAACGATCCCACAAATCGATCCCCCTCCCCCCGCTTGAGCCCAGCCCAGGAACCCGAGCAGCAGGATTCCTTTCATCCGAAGGACACCCGATCACCGAACCCACAGGCAGGTCTGGCCGCAGCGGAGCAGCTCCACGCCGCCCGGGCGGCTCGTTGGATTCGCCCCAACGCCGCGTTCGCGACTCCTTTCGCAGCTGCCGGAGTCCCTTCTTCGCCCCCCTCCCCGCTCCGCGACCCCGCCGGTTCGCTCCCTCCCCTTCTTCTCACTCACCGGCTGCGGCGTCTGAGCGGCCAGCCCGCTGGCCTGCCCGGGCGCAGGCGAGCAGCAGGAGCCCCAGCAGCGAGGCCAGGACGCACAGCTGCCCCGCGCGCAGCCCCTTCTTGCGCCGCCAAGCTTGGCCCCTCTTCGGCGGCAGCATCTCAACGGACGGCGCGGTGCAGAGCAGAGCGCCGCGGAGGATGCCGGCGCCAGCGCCCGGAGCGAGGCAAGAAGAGCCCGGGCAGCCCTCTCGGCCGTCAGGAGCGAGCCGAGCCCTGCCTCCTTCGCCGCTCACGCTGAGCCGCTCCCGAGCGCTGTTGCCCGGAGGGCGCGCGGCTGCTCGGCGAGGGCGAGGCGCTGCGCCATAGGCAGGGCTCCCCGGCTGACGGCTGCTACGCTTAGCGCTCTAGCCGGCCTGACAGCGGTGGAGATCCGTCGGTCGGGGGCCCCCTGTCGCCGATCGGCTCCGCCCCCTCCTCGAGGCCGGGGGCGGGGGCGTCTTCGGGGCCGTCCCGCCTGCTGTCGCCGCCTCTTCCAGCGAATCCCGGTCTTGGGGGGACCGGTGGACCGGCTGGGGACAGCCAGGGAGCCCACGCCCCGTTGCCGCCGCCGGAGCCCGCTTTTATCCCCCTAATGGTCCAACCTGGCAAAGCTTAGGGGGACCAGAGGAGGTTTGGGCAAATTCTCCACGGCTTCATCCGGTAAATAGGGCGCGGTTTCATTTGTCTCCGGGTTTCGCCTCAACCTCTGCTGCATTTTAGATCAGGCAGCAAAAAGTAACCCTGAGCATGTACAGAGTACTTTTTTTACCAGCATTTGTTGAGAGAGGTAGTTGAATATGTGAACTCAGCTGACATAGAAGAAAGAATCTGACCGAGAAAAAAGCTGAATTAAGACCTGAATGGCGGTGAGGATGTGGCATCCTGTCTGCAGTTTTAAGTCATAGCTCATTTCTACATAAGAGTCATCAGGCAGTCATCTCAAATCATCTTGCCTGAACTGGCTCTAAGGTAGGATGCTTGGTCCCTAAACAATTGTGATAAATGTGGCTTTCAAAGAAGGAAGAATTCTTCTCCTACTTTTCCCCCCTTTTAGAAAAGGATTGTGATTTACTTTTGAATATCAACCCAATAATTCTATCCCTCTCCCCAGGTTATCCTTTTTTTTTTTTTTTTTTTTGCTTGTTAAGCATTTAGTCACCTAATTATAGTAAAGATTCTTGGGATTGTTTTACAACTCTACCTTGGCCTAATGAAGTTCTTGCTTTAATGTGTATTTGTGATTAAAAAGAGAGGATGTTGTTTTCATTTTATTGCTGGGCTCGTTCCGCTTGCATAAGCAACACAAGCAGTGAAGTGAGATCACCAGCAGCATGTGAGATCCAAGAGGAATGCCTGGGAATCCTTTGCTGTGTCACAGAGAGTACCAGAAGCACCACTTCTAGACTGCACACAGATCTTATTCCCTGATATTTTTGTGCCTAGCTGTAAGGGAAGGTGGAGGGTGTGGAGATAGGGGGGTTCCTGCCTCCCTGTTTGTCTGTCCAAATGGCTTGATCTGATCCATCTTCAAAGGAAGGTAACTTCCACAGAAATCCCTTGGGAATATAACAGACATTTATGGCTGAATGGCACAGACGGTGACACGAAGACGACTGTTAGCCATAAAACTGAAATTTGTTTCATTTGAAATAATTGGCAACAACAGAATTGCCTTTTTTTTTCTCTGTGAGAAAGTTGGTGGCAATTGACCAGACCAGGAGTAGGGAGAGAGACTTCTGTTACCAAAAGAAATAGGGAGTAAAGCGGTGAATTGCTGCAATTGGTTACAAAAGCACAAAACCGTTTAAGTTTATTCCTTTGTGTTTTTCTACATATTTAAAAGCACATTTCTTCTCAGAGGCTCTCCATAATGTAAATACACCTATAAACCAGGTTTTACCCACATATGGTTAAAACGTGTCTTCAGAATATTCATGATTACACTTACATTAATAAATGACATGGAATCACTATTGAAAGCCAATTATTTGACATTGAAATAATCATTCAAAGATAATTGGCAGAAAAATCTTTCCCTGGATGGGACAGAAAACAGATGGAATAATTGCCAGAACACATGGGTTCTCAGCCTGAGAAAATGAAAGTATATTTTAAAAAAACAAAAAAACAAAAATTACACAAAAATTACAAACATGCATTCAGCGTGACTGGAAATGCTGCAAGTGACCTTCCATCAGAGACGTATTGCTATTGCATAAATAGCTCCTGAAGACAACCAATGGGCTCACAAAGAGAGACACCTCTGTCTGCACCTTGGCATCACAAAGACGTGACAATAAAAAGGGTTTCAGTTCCCCTGTTTCAGTATTCAAGCCTGCAGTAATCCCGCCGGGTTAGCACCAGGCATCCCTAATCATAGGCTTTTAAGTAAGGGTATTTCAAATTGGAAACATTGCAACCTTAGTTCTCGGCAGCCATTCCACTCTTACCAGGGTTGTGCTAGCAACTGCCTGAGCGGTGCCAAGTAAGGTCAAAATGCCCTATTTTCAAATCAGAAACATTTTGTGCATTTCTACTTTTAAGTTCCCTGATACAGGTAGTCCTCAACTTATAACCCCAACCAAGACCAGAATTTCTGTTGCTAAGCAAGGCAGTTAAAGGTGTTGAACTCAGTTTTTTAACGTTTTTTCCCCCAATGATCATTAATATAGAATCGCTGCAGTTGTTAAGGAAAATCATGCAGCCATCAAACAAATCTGGCTTTCCCCCCATTGACTTTGCTTCAGAAAGATCACGAGTGGTGATCCCAGGAGCCCGGGATGCTGCAGCTGTTGTAAGTACACGCTGGTTGCCGTGCGCCCAGATTTTGACCACTTGACCGCTACAACAGTCATAAGGGTGAAGGCTGGCTGTAATTAACTTTTCAGTGATGTTGTACTGTAACTTAAAACTGTCATTAAATGAATGCTTGTAAGTTGAGGACTACCTGTATGTGATGAAATTTGCCAACATAAAGATTTTCCTGTACCTTTAAAGCAGTGGTTCTCAACCTTTTTAATGCCGTGACCCCCACCCGGTCGTAAGTCGAGGACTACTCAACTGGTCATAAGTCGAGGACTACTCAACTGGTGCAGCACCGTTTGCAGAATGGGACTTTTGGCGGGCTCAGCAGTGCAGAGACAGCCTGGACAATTCCTATTGGCTTTTGAAAGCCAATAGAATTAGATTCTATTCAAGAGAGTCTATTCTATTGGCTTTCAAAAGCCAATAGAATAAAAGGGAGTAGCACAGCTAAGGAAAAGGGGGAAAAAATGGCGGACTGCATTGTTTGGCGACCCCCGTGAAATGGTCATTTGACCCCAAATGGGGTCCCGACCCACAGGTTGAGAACCACTGCTTTAAAGGGTTGTACACACACTACCAATGACTACCATATCCTAATGGATAAATTGCTCGAGTTGGTTATTAGACAGGCTGCAAGCTTTCTTGGGCGGTGATTTCAAAAGCTGGTACAGTGTGACAATTGCTTCATGCAACGGCAATTGTATTACAAAGTTGCACAGGGACAGGACTCTGACTCTCTCTCTCTCTCTCTCTCTCTCTCTCTCTCTCTCTCTCTGTGAAATTGAAGTGGGACTGACAGCCATCTCTCTTCTTCTCCCTTTCTTCAAACTCATGTGAGACAGAAGATCTGATCTGGTCAGGGTCTGGGTGCAGCAATGAAGTAGTTACCTTGAAGTTCCATAAGCCAAAAATACTCTTGATGTGTGTAGTTCATCTGCCCAACTGTGTGTGTTAAAGCTGCTCTGAAGGCCTTTTACTAGGCATGTGCTTTTGACTCTCAGAAAAGCTCAAATCTACTGTGGGTTAATGTAGTTCAGAATAGATATTTATTAAGATAACTGAAAGATCTTACTTATTTCTGGCCCTATTCAAGATCCTCTATGGAAGCATACAGTAAGTTTTTCAATGCACCCTGGAAATCTGTCATGCTGCAATTTGCTACCATGGCTGCCACATCAAAAGTCAGGAGGGAAAATTGAAAAAACAACTGATGGTTGCTTATGAAAAATTCCTTGATTGAGGATGGTAGGAAAGAGGAATATGGGATTCCGGGATTAATAAGCTTGACTGCAACTGAGAATGCCTTTGTTATCAGATCACTATTAGTCACTCCTTTCCAAGCTTTTGAGACAAGCCTTTTTAGCACTGAACGGAAGTCCAAGTGGCTGGTCAGCTACCCTTGCAGGATATTTCTGTAAAATTGTTTTCAAAAAGAGCTTTGAGGAGGTTGCAGAACTGAGCTGAACAAGCACTTACTAATATGAGGAGATGAAGAGCAAAACTGTACTGAGAGGCATCTTTTCCTGAAAACTAGAAAATGCCCAGTGCGCTTCCTTAAAAACCAATTGGTAGATGGATATAGAAAATTATAGGCCAATGAATTAAAATGGCTGAAAGTGTTATTAAAGGATAAATAACAAAAAGCCTGACTCAGCAAGACTCTCTATTTTTCTAAGGTTTCAAATTTTTAATTCCCTAAAGAAAGTATAGTACCGGTAGGTTACTGAGCAAACCTAAATACAGTTAGTAGCTCCGATAGATACTTTGACCTGTCGATTAGATCCTGCCTCTACTGTGCCTGAGGCACATCCTCTTCACCTTCCTACCCCCAACTACATTGATCACTCTCTTCCCAGCCAGACAAGAACAAAAATGACATGGCTTTTACTGAAAGCATTTAGGAAAGAGTGTAACCTGGGAAAAAAAAGCAATATGTAGACTTTCTAACCAATCCTGGTCACAGGGGTCCCATGCTTAGTTGGTGATTCAACAGATGTCAGAGTAGTTGGGACAGTGTAGGAAAACCTTCATCGGCTGCCTTTTACAGTACATACAAGATATTCCTGCTTGGAACAAATATAAATTGTTGCTCATTTCTCTTAGGATCAGGGACAATTCTGCCCCCAGCCTTCTAAGTTGAAATCAACATCACCAAATTAACTTTCCTTTCCTGAGTAGTGAGGTGCTAATGAAAGCTCACCAAAATAGGTTCAGGGGACGTAAAGTTATGTGGTAATGACTTGGGAGACAGGAGAAAGAGCTGCAATCTGGACAATGGTCTGATAAGCAAACTTTGAGCCTGAAGGAGAGGCTAAAGCAGTGTTTCTCAACCTTGACAATTTTAAGGCATGTGGACTTCAACTCCCAGAATTCCACAGCCAGCAACGCTGGCTGTGGAATTCTGGGAGTTGAGGTCCACATGCCTTAAAATTGTCAAGGTTGAGAAACACTGGGCTAAAGCATCGCAGAAGGGACCCTGCCTAGTTTTCAGGAGAGTAAAAGTGAGAGGCAGGAGATGTACTTTCAGATTTTGCAAGGTTCTGTTAATGTAATCTTACAAAAGATATAAAGCAATAGAGCCATTACTCCTGATTGTGCTTTTTGTCTGGATTACCTCACAGGACTAACACGGGGTAACATTTTCCTCGTCCTTCTTTTGCTTTATATTCAAGATCATAACGACAATATCTCTTGTCTAACTGACAGCTGCTAAGGGGTGAGCAGACAGGACTTTGCTTTTCTGTGACATGGCTTCGTTAGCTTGTAGCTCACAGTCTTGAAGACAGCTTGCTCTGCCTGTGATGATTCCTCACCTTTGCCACCTCATCAGTCCAAGGTTTATGAGGGAATGAGCCTCTCCTACTCATTAGAAGGGAAACACAGGCTATAAGCATATATACCACCTTTTTTCCTAACACCTCTTGAAGTCACAAAAGATTAGAGTTTCTTTCTGATTTTTTTCCTGTTTTTATTTTCTCTTCTTAAATTCCTTCAGTATATCAACTATGCTTATGTCAAGTATTAAATGTTTAATTATTAAAGAGAAAGAAAGTGTGGCTATTATGTTATCTGTGCTCTTGTTCCTTTGATTCTGCCCGTGTTTTAATTCTATTTTATTTTCATTGTGGAAAGTGGCTCCTTATCATTCATTGAGTACGTGCCCTCACAACAAAGCAACCATCTTGTCCTCAGCCCATTCTGAAGTAGATTGATGCAGGTCCCAGATGATCTGCATGAAAGTAAGTCAGGAAAATTGGAAGTAGAGACCCAGCCATGCAGACAAGTTGGGTGCCATGAAAAAACTGCTGGGCTTCAAAAAACCCCTTGCAGGATTGCCCATCTCCTGTCTTTTTCGGGGGTCTCTGTGGCGACCAGAGAGATAAAACATTCCTTGCATAATTTTTCTTTCTGTTGCTTTTTTTATGCGTGTATGAGTGGAGAGGGGGGCTATATGATTTGGCTACTGGGAATATCAACCTCACAGAAGA